GCCCAGCGCCGCGGGTACCCGGGGAGCTGCTCCTCCCTCTCCTCCGGCCTGCACCCCCAGTTTGCCCCCCCCACCCGTTTCCTCCTCCTCCCTGGCCTGCTCACCATCAGAGGCACCGGCACACGGGACAAGACTGCAGGCAGGTTGTGGCTACCAATATCAGTTACCTGAACGCCTGCCATGAGAAACGACGAGAGCAGCAGCACCGAAAGATTTCTCCAGTGCCTACGAGACATCTGTTTCGCATTAACCAGTATATAGCTGGGATTATTCAGGCACAGAATGGTTCAGCCACTCACACAGCAGAGCTAAGGGCATAACACTGAGACCATGACGAAAGCTAGCAGAGGGAAGTGGCAGCAGCAGTCAGCAGTTGTGTGCTGAGGACAGGGAATGGGAGCAGCACAATGTCAGGCTGATCCCCCACCAGGCTTGGCCACCTGAGGCAACCCATAAAATTAGACCCTTAAAAATGTAATTGCAATATTTTTCAATGTCATAAAGGAGCAAGGAGAGAGAAATACAACCAGTTTGATATTACACCAAAACTTACTGAGTGCTTAAAAGTTTCAGTAGCTCTATTAGAGAACCAATATGGGAATTAAGTATTAAGGAAGTGAAGTCCAGTAGTTAGAGCACAGGGCTGGAAGCCAACACTCACGCTCTTTTTTTGGCTCTGCTGCTCACTCGCTGTGTGGCCTAACCCAAGCCATTTAATCTCTCTGCAATCTCTACAATGGTATAATAGTCTTTTACAGACATGCTAGAAGGCTCAGATAACTAATGTTTGGTAATGTACTTTGTGATGAAAGATGTTAAGTCTAAGGCCTCATCACTAGTTCTATTACGATATGTATTCCCTGCCTGTCCAAAACTGTTGCTTACAGCACAGCTGCAGGTATCCTTTAACATGATTATACAGGAAACTTTAACACACCATTTGTCTTTGCAGGACTAGATGTTGGATGATTTGTTTCATCCACTTTTCTTTCTTCTGAAATGAAGCACACATTTGTTTATCTTAATGTCAAGAACTATCCTCCCATTGTTTGAATACAACGGGAAGACTTCTCAGCTCCTTTGAATTGCCGCAGGTCCTTTGATTTCATCTCAGCTGCAATAAGTTTTCAAAGGGAAGACACCAGCTTAACATCTCAGGAAGTTCAGAGGGTAGATTTTATTAGTTAGTCACATTTTAGATTGCTATAATTATTTCCTCATACTCACCCTGTGGCATTACTTGCAGGCTGTTATGACATAGGTAGGGTTCTACACAGAACAGCTAGGGTATAAAAGCCAATGTAGTAAAATAGGCATAATGTTCACAGCTGTAAAATTGAGCTGTACTTCCCTAAGATCAGACTAGTTCATGTGATTTCTTTTCTTTCCATTGCTTGTGGTTATTGCCTAATTGTTTGGTTCCATGTCTAACAGGCAATCAGTGTAACTACTCATCTAAATGTAAAAAAAAAGTTTATGTGCAATAGTAACAAGAACAATAACTAAAAATATATTGTGAACATGAAAGGCTTTAGAGCGTGAGAATGCCTTGACCCAAACTTATTGTACTGATAAGTTCTCAAATAAAAAGCAATGGCAAATAGTCAAAGAGCAATAGTAACTCTCAAGCTTGACAACTAAAGTATCTCAGACAATCACATGCATGTGTTAATTCAGTTTTCTTCTGAAAGAAATGAGTCAATGACCTGACATGCAGTGAAAATTAGCAAGCATGACCAATGAAGCCACACTAAAGTCCTCATGAAGGTCCACGCCAAGGAGAGGAATGGATAAAATGAGGAAGAATGAAGAAAAGAATCATCAAAGATGTTTGCAAGCTCCTAAGGAGAAACATGGGAAGTGGATGGAACCATCTGCAATATACGCAAAAAGAACTATTTCCCAACTCTTCAACTCACTCAGAAAAGCCAGAGAGAGAACAATCAGACAAGCGACAAAAGATGATTACAGGCCAGAGAGAGACATTAGTGAGACTATGAAATGAGTCAAAATATCTGTAAACCTAATTAAGAACAGAATGTGCCAGCTGAGATGGCCACAACACGGTTACTGAGCAGCCTGGAAAAAAAAAAGGCAATAATTCTTGTACTTAATGTCAGCAAATGTTACCAATGAAGAAAGTTATACAGTCAAGAATGAGAAAGAATGTAGAAGAAACTAAGAAAGAAAAGTAACTCAGTTTATCTTCTGAAAGACTCAATTCTAGGAAATTAAATAGATTTTAAGGTTTGACTAGAAAATATGTATTTTTTCATAGGAACGGTGTTCACAGACAGGAAAAAAGCAGAAATGGCAATATAATTAGCTGTTACATATTAGCATAAGACCTAGGTTTTATCTGAGAGATAGGTTGTGCAGAGGCACAGGTCAAAGAAAACAGGATATGAGTTTATGAAATACACCATCCTTCTCTTCATTGCACAATAAAAATGATGACTCGCAACACTCGTGGTTCTTCTGCCATGTATTCCTTGGATTCAGAATATAAACCCTGATCTTCTTATCATCCATTACTCAACAAAGTAGCATGAATTTTATCATTTTGACTGACATTTATTTAAGTAAATGAATTATGACTGTATATAAATTGAATTATCATCATTTAAGAGCTATCTAAGCTCCCCAAAAAATAATGGCAGCTGGGGAACAGTGGAGCCTAGAAACAATTTCATCTTACCAAGGTAGTTTTTTCATTGCCCAGACATAGACCTCTAGTTTCATTTAAGATGCCCAAAAATTTCAGATGTCTGCTTCACAGATATGGCATGGGACTTAAGAAGATCTGTGTCTTTTTGAAGTACAGCAGGTGACTAGATAAGACCTCAAGTTGCATCAGACACCCATCATGGCAGGTTGCTTGAATAACTCTTCCAACATCATTGACTGTACTTACCATATCTGGGGGCTTAAACACTCAGTTCATACATAGACACTAATTTCGGTGTCTTCATCCTTAACTAAATCTTTTCCGATATATCAACATATACTTGTTCCAAATTCCACCCAGAAATCAAACCTTTAGACAAAGAAGATAGAACAAGTACAATAGGGACAGCCATATTCTCAGTATTGAATGTTTTTCCTGAATTTTCAAACAAGTTTAAAATATAACTTCCATCAAGCTCAAACATTAATATTCTTAATATACTATGAAGCCAATGGCACAGGATTGAGTGGCAACAGTACCAAAATTCACATATGGAAGGCTCATGAAACAATTTGCTCAGGTTTGTCTATTGTTAGTGAAAATATATCAACAGACTAGAGAAGAATTAGTAGAAAATGAGGAACAATTATTTGTAATGGGAGAAAATGCTAATTACATGTAACAAGAACTCTGCTTTGCCAAGAAATTACTGCTGAGTACAGTGGGTACTAAAGACCTGTGCCAGACATAATATAACATTTCTTAGAAATGAGGTAAGTAACACACTTTGAAGCACTGATAAAACTGGTATTCTTCTCACTAATACCTCAGCAGAAGCCACTGGCCACAGAGAAGAGAAGCAAAATAGCTAAGAATTTGTGCGACTAAGAGTACTTGTCATATTAAGCATACATTTTCCAGACTTTCTTTTGATTACTGTGTCACATTTCACTATTCTGGGCATCGCTATGGTGTTCTTTTAGGAATCTTATCATTAAGAGCATAATGAAAACATATGAATGCATCAGTTCTTAACTTCTTTGGATAGATAAATTATAAAACAAAATCTCCCTAACCATCAGTGTAGTGTCTGCAGTGCTTGTGTTGTGGGCTCATCATAACCAAACCTCAGCATTTTTTTGGTTCTCTCATAGCTCCTTGATAATGTAGTCCCTTTTTATGATGCTTCAAGCATATTTATAATTGAAGATGCAGTTGAAAAATCCAGTGTATACCAATGCTAAAAAAGGCAATATTTCTTATTCCAACTGCAGAAGTTCATGTTTCATTTCTGCTGGACTGAAACATACTTTTTAGAAATTTGAAGAATACTGAAGTAAAAAAAATTAATATTTGGGTGGGTGTTCAACATCTGTCAACTGCAAGTCAGGTCCTGATTCTAGCACTGTGTCATTTTCAACACTGCTAATATTTCTTTTCTTATTTGAAAGATACGTAGCAACTTGGCATCACTTTTGAAGAATGGGTGTATATATTCTGCAGTATTTTTCCTGACCTTTAGAGGATTCATCTTCCTTCATATGCAACTTCGAGAAAAAGAACCTTCTAAAAGATGTTTGACCTGAATATGCCCAAATAAACTTTGCTTAAGGAAATTAAATTTAAACCTGAAGAAGTTTCTAAATATTTACTTTTAAGTCAATATGGTTTTTTGACCAGTTCACTGTATTTGAAGCAGAAAATGTAACATCAATTTCTGGATGAGCTGCTGACCTTCTTTATGACTCTGGGCAATACAGTTTACTGCTCACAACCAGGCAAGTGTCCAAATCTGTCTCTCTAAATGCCTTCCTGTCTTTCCTTTATCTCATCTA